TGGTTCCTGGGTCTTGGTTCCCGGGTCTTGGCTCTGGTTCCCGGGTCTTGGCTCTGGTTCCCGGGTCTTGGCTCTGGTTCCCGGGTCTTGGCTCTGGTTCCCGGGTCTTGGCTCTGGTTCCCGGGTCTTGGCTCTGGTTCCCGGGTCTTGGCTCCTCTGTCCTTGGTCTTGGCTCCGGTTCCTCTGTCCCGGGTCTTGGCTCCGGTTCCTCTGTCCTGTTCCTCGGTCTTGGCTCCGGTTCCTCAGTCTTGGCTCCGGTTCCTCAGTCTTGGCTCCGGTTCCTCGGTCCCGGGTCTTGGCTCCGGTTCCTCGTTCCCTGGTCTTGGCTCTGGTTCCTAGGTCTTGGCTCTGGTTCCTAGGTCTTGGCTCTGGTTCCTAGGTCTTGGCTCTGGTTCCTCGGTCCCGGGTCTTGGCTCTGGTTCCCGGGGCTTGGCTCCGGTTCCCGGGGCTTGGCTCCGGTTCCCGGGGCCTGGCCCTGGTTCCTCGGTCCCGGGTCTTGGCTCTGGTTCCCGGGTCTGGCTCCTCTGTCCTTGGTCTTGGCTCTGGGTCTTGGCTCCGGTTACTTGGTCCCGGGTCTTGGCTCCGGTTCCTCGGTCCCGGGTCTTGGCTCTGGTTCCTGGGTCTGGCTCCTCTGTCCTTGGTCTTGGCTCTGGGTCTTGGCTCCGGTTCCTCGGTCCCGGATCTTGGCTCTGGTTCCTAGGTCTTGTCTCTGGTTCCTGGGTCTTGTCTCTGGTTCCCGGGTCTTGGCTCCTCTGTCCTTGGTCTTGGCTCCGGTTCCTCTGTCCCGGGTCTTGGCTCCGCTTCCTCTGTCCGGGTCCTGGGTCTTAGCTCCGGTTCCTCAGTCTTGGCTCCGGTTCCTCAGTCCCGGGTCTTGGCTCCGGTTCCTCGTTCCCTGGTCTTGGCTCTGGTTTCTCGGTCCCGGGTCTTGGCTTTGGTTCCTGGTTCTTGGTTCCTGGGTCTTGGTTCCCGGGTCTTGGCTCTGGTTCCCGGGTCTTGGCTCCGGTTCCCGGGTCTTGGCTCTGGTTCCTCGGTCCCGGGTCTTGGCTCTGGTTCCCGGGTCTGGCTCCTCTGTCCTTGGTCTTGGCTCTGGGTCTTGGCTCCGGTTCCTCGGTCCCGGGTCTTGTCTCTGGTTCCTTAGTCTTGTCTCTGGTTCCTTAGTCTTGTCTCTGGTTCCTGGGTCTTGTCTCTGGTTCCTGGGTCTTGTCTATGGTTCCCGGGTCTTGTCTCTTGGTCTTGGCTCTGGTTCCTGTGTCTTGGCTCCGGTTCCCGGGTCTTGGCTCCGGGTCTTGGCTCTGGTTCCTCGGTCCCGGGTCTTGGCTCCGGTTCCTGGGTCTTGGCTCCGGTTCCTCGGTCCCGGTCTTTGCTCTGGTTCCTAGGTCTTTGCTCTGGTTCCTAGGTCTTTGCTCTGGTTCCTCGGTCCTGGCTCTGGTTCCTCGGTCCTGGGTCTTGGCTCTGGTTCCTGGGTCTTGGCTCTGGTTCCTCTGTCCTTGGTCTTGGCTCTGGTTCCTGGGTCTTGGCTCTGGTTCCTGGGTCTTGGCTCTGGTTCCCGGGTCTGGCTCCTCTGTCCTTGGTCTTGGCTCCGGTTCCTGGTTCCCGGGTCTTGGCTCTGGTTCCCGGGTCTTGGCTCTGGTTCCCGGGTCTTGGCTCCTCTGTCCTTGGTCTTGGCTCCGGTTCCTCTGTCCCGGGTCTTGGCTCCGGTTCCTCTGTCCTGTTCCTCGGTCTTGGCTCCGGTTCCTCAGTCTTGGCTCCGGTTCCTCAGTCTTGGCTCCGGTTCCTCGGTCCCGGGTCTTGGCTCCGGTTCCTCGTTCCCTGGTCTTGGCTCTGGTTCCTAGGTCTTGGCTCTGGTTCCTAGGTCTTGGCTCTGGTTCCTAGGTCTTGGCTCTGGTTCCTCGGTCCCGGGTCTTGGCTCTGGTTCCCGGGTCTGGCTCCTCTGTCCTTGGTCTTGGCTCTGGGTCTTGGCTCCGGTTACTTGGTCCCGGGTCTTGGCTCCGGTTCCTCGGTCCCGGGTCTTGGCTCTGGTTCCTGGGTCTGGCTCCTCTGTCCTTGGTCTTGGCTCTGGGTCTTGGCTCCGGTTCCTCGGTCCCGGATCTTGGCTCTGGTTCCTAGGTCTTGTCTCTGGTTCCTGGGTCTTGTCTCTGGTTCCCGGGTCTTGGCTCCTCTGTCCTTGGTCTTGGCTCCGGTTCCTCTGTCCCGGGTCTTGGCTCCGCTTCCTCTGTCCGGGTCCTGGGTCTTAGCTCCGGTTCCTCAGTCTTGCTCTGGTTCCTCAGTCCCGGGTCTTGGCTCCGGTTCCTCAGTCCCGGGTCTTGGCTCCGGTTCCTCGTTCCCTGGTCTTGGCTCTGGTTTCTCGGTCCCGGGTCTTGGCTTGGGTTCCTGGTTCCTGGGTCTTGGTTCCCGGGTCTTGGCTCTGGTTCCCGGGTCTTGGCTCTGGTTCCCGGGTCTTGGCTCTGGTTCCCGGGTCTTGGCTCTGGTTCCCGGGTCTTGGCTCTGGTTCCCGGGTCTCCCGGGTCTGGCTCCTCTGTCCTTGGTCTTGGCTCCGGTTCTTGGTCCCAGGTCTTGGCTCCGGTTCCTCGGTCCCGGGTCTTGTCTCTGGTTCCTGAGTCTTGTCTCTGGTTCCTGGGCCTTGTCTCTGGTTCCCGGGTCTTGTCTCTTGGTCTTGGCTCCGGTTCCCGGGTCTTGGCTCCGGTTCCCGGGTCTTGGCTCCGGGTCTTGGCTCCGGTTCCTGGGTCTTGGCTCCGGTTCCTCGGTCCCGGTCTTTGCTCTGGTTCCTAGGTCTTTGCTCTGGTTCCTAGGTCTTTGCTCTGGTTCCTCAGTCCCGGGTCTTGGCTCTGGTTCCAGGGTCTTGGCTCTGGTTCCTCTGTCCTTGGTCTTGGCTCTGGTTCCTGGGTCTTGGCTCTGGTTCCTGGGTCTTGGCTCTGGTTCCAGGGTCTTGGCTCTGGCTCCTCTGTCCTTGGTCTTGGCTCCGGTTCCTGGGTCCCGGGTCTTGGCTCTGGTTCCTGGGCCTTGGCTCTGGTCCCGGGTCTTGGCTCTGGTCCCGGGTCTTTGCTCTGGTTCCTAGGTCTTTGCTCTGGTTCCTAGGACTTGGCTCTGGTTCCTCTGTCCTTGGTCTTGGCTCCGGTTCCTGGGTCTTGGCTCGGGTTCCCGGGTCTTGGCTCTGGTTCCCGGGTCTTGGCTCCGGGTCCCCGGTCTTCCTCTGTCCTTGGTCTTGGCTCCGGTTCCTGGGTCCCGGGTCTTGGCTCTGGTTCCTGGGCCTTGGCTCTGGTCCCGGGTCTTGGCTCTGGTCCCGGGTCTTTGCTCTGGTTCCTAGGTCTTTGCTCTGGTTCCTAGGTCTTTGCTCTGGTTCCTAGGTCTTTGCTCTGGTTCCTAGGACTTGGCTCTGGTTCCTCTGTCCTTGGTCTTGGCTCCGGTTCCTGGGTCTTGGCTCCGGTTCCTGGGTCTTGGCTCTGGTTCCCGGGTCTTGGCTCTGGTTCCCGGGTCTTGGCTCTGGTTCCCGGGTCTGGGCTCTGGTTCCTGGGTCTGGGCTCTGGTTCCTCGTTCTTGGCTCTGGTTCCTCGTTCTTGGCTCTGGTTCCCGGGTCTTGGCTCCGGTTCCCGGGTCTTGGCTCCCGTTCCTCGGTCTTGGCTCCGGTTCCTCGGTCCCGGGTCTTGGCTCCGGTTCCTCGTTCCCTGGTCTTGGCTCTGGTTCCTAGGTCTTGGCTCTGGTTCCTCGGTCCCAGGTTTTGGGTCTTGGTTCCTGGGTCTTGGTTCCTGGGTCTTGGTTCCTGGCTCTTGGCTCTGGTTCCCGGGTCTTGGCTCTGGTTCCCGGGTCTTGGCTCTGGTTCCTCGGTCTTGGGTCTTGGCTCTGGTTCCCGGGTCTGGCTCCTCTGTCCTTGGTTTTGGCTCTGGGTCTTGGCTCCGGTTCCTTGGTCCCGGGTCTTGGCTCCGGTTCGTCGGTCCCGGGTCTTGTCTCTGGTTTCTGTGTCTTGGCTCTGGTTCCTGTGTCTTGGCTCTGGTTCCTGTGTCTTGGCTCTGGTTCCTGGGTCTTGGCTCGGGTTCCCGGGTCTTGGCTCCGGTTCCCGGGTCTTGGCTCCGGGTCTTGGCTCTGGTTCCTTGGTCCCGGGTCTTGGCTCCGGTTCCTGGGTCTTGGCTCCGGGTCTTGGCTCCGGTTCCTCGGTCCCGGTCTTGGCTCTGGTTCCTCGATCCCGGGTCTTTGCTCTGGTTCCTAGGTCTTGGCTCTGGTTCCTGGGTCTTGGCTCTGGTTCTTGGCTCTGGTCCCGGGTCTTGGCTCCGATTCCTGGGTCTTGGCTCCGGTTCCTCGGTCCCGGGTCTTGGCTCTGGTTCCTGGGTATTGGGTCTGGTTCCCGGGTCTGGCTCCTCTATCCTTGGGCTTGGCTCCGGTTCCTGGGTCCTGGGTTTTGGCTCCGGTTCCTGGGTTTTGGCTCCGGGCCTTGGCTCCGGGCCTTGGCTCCGGTCCCGGGTCTTGGCTCCGGTCCCGGGTCTTGGCTCTCCTGATCTCAGTGTGGTGGAAATCTCCGGAAGCTCTATAATGGTCTCTCTCTCCTCAGCTCTCCTCGGGGCCCCGCAGTATGGGGTCCATGTGAACGGATATGTGGACAGAGGCGGAGAAATCTTCATGTGGGTGGCCCGACGCGCTCTATCCAAGGCCACCTACCCGGGCAAGCTGGACCACCTGGTGAGCCGAGTGCGGGGGAGGGGAACTTGTATTATTATTGGGGACCCTCCTCCTCTTCTTAGAGAGATTTCTTCTCACTTCCTGTTGTGTCTCGAGGACAGGAAGTGAGAGAAAATTTCCAAAACAGAGCCTGACCGGGATTTATCCTGTGTGGGGGATGTGACTACACCGTCCCACTTTCATGAAGGGTTTGTAGTGGCGTTGTCACCGATGTAGTACGGAGGTTGGTGTCTGTGTGTTCCAGGCCGCGGGTGGAATCTCTGCCGGGTGCGGAGTGTGGGAGACGCTCCTGAAGGAGTGCAGAGAAGAGGCCTGCGTCCCAGAATCCCTTGCAGCGACGGCCAGACCCTGCGGGACAGTCAGGTAACTCACACCGGGACTCAGCAGCTCAGCACCCCCCTGCTCCCCCTCCCAGCAGTGACTCAGCACCCCCCTGACCCTCCGCCCAGCAGTGACTCAGCA